AAAAAAAAAAAAAAAAAAAAAAAAAAAACTCGCAAAGTCCAGCCCTTTGTGGATAACTGTTTCTTCCCACTGGACCAGGCTGAAGTGAGTGCTGCAGACATTTCTTTTTTGAACTGGGAAATACCATACTTCAATCAAGGGTATGGGCTCTCCGCTTGGAAATTGCCTTGGTGTCTACTTAGCATTCTGACCTGTGTGATGTTAGTTTCTCTTGGCCTCTTTCTTCATTCCCAAACTGAGAGTGATAATAGAACCTCCTTCATTTGGCAGACATAGAGCTAACACCAAGAAGTTATCATCAAATATAATTCCTTTGCTTTGTGAGTGACAATGATTACAATGGCATTTATAAATTTTACAGTGTCATTATAGCCTTACTGCCTGTGTTTTCCAACATAAAATCTCTCATTCATATTGGGTTACTGGTCTTACTGTTTCCCCTTAAACGCATCTATCATCTGTAGTCTTCAACCATTCTACTTTTGGTCTCCTGAACACTCTTCTGCATATTCTTCACACTCCCTACCACATTCTTGAAATCTACTAATTGCAGTAATTGAAACCATGTTCAATTCATGTCTGATCTTTGCAAGGGCTATCCCTTCCACCTGCATTTTCTTCTTCCTGCCACTTCCCCTTAACTCTCTCTGCCATGCTAACTCCTACTTGTACTTCAGGTCTCAGACCCAGGATGCCCATCCTAGATCCTTTATTTGCCTGTGTTGGTGAAGTGTCCTCTGAGTCACAAATAAACCTCTTTATAACCACTCTGAGCCCCCACTCCCCATCATGCAGGTTACACTGAGTTTAACTGTACATTTATCTATAAGTACACTGTTTCCATTTGTTCACTGCTATACTCTGCAGGTAGATCAGGCTTAGAGCACAGTAGTGCTTCAATATTTACTGAGTGAATGCATGAATGAATGAATATAATTTCTCAAGCACACCAAAATCTTTCCTAGCTCATTACATGCTGTTCCGTCTATCTAGAATGCTCTTCCCTCTACTTCTCATAAGCTGCCCTTTCTTATCTCTTTGAAGCCTCCTTTAGATTTAAGTAGCATCTCCTATAGTTATTCACTGACAACCATAGTTTAGAGTAAGTTCCCTTAGTCCTTAGTTTTTGTCTTAGCCTCTGGTTAAACTCTTCCATAGTGCTTACCACAACTTGTAATTACTTAAGTTACCATCTATTTACTTTTTCTGGTGTCTTTTCTGCACTATCATGTCAGGTCCATGAGGGCAGGAACTGATTCAGTTGTATGCAACACTGTGTGCCTGCACCAGTACTCAATGAATGTTTGTAGAAGAAATGAGAGAAGGCTGTTCTGCAGGCCAGTCCAGACTCCACCTTTTGCATAGAGTATTCCCACTCTATGTCAACCACACTTACCTTTCCCTTCTCAGAATCCCTCTAGCATGCACATTCAGCTGGAGGTTCTGTGAGATCACTTGTTTCAGGACTGATTCTAGTTTTTGGTATGCCTAGAACAATGTATTTTATCTTATTTTTCCAACCACATTCTGAAGTCTCAAAGTCAAGTATCAAATCTATTGTAAATTGTTGCTCACCCAGTAAGTATTCAATCAATACCCTTTGGCTTGACTTAAAAATAAATGGCTGGGGACGTAACCTAGTGGTAGAGTGCTTGTCTAACACGTGCAAGGTGTTGGGTTTGATTCCCAGCACTACAAAGAAAAAATATTTCCTACCCCTTGCACTATCTCTTTTTTAAAAATAATTTCCTTTTCTTACCTGTAAGTTCACTACTACTTGAGTCTTTTTTAATATCCTCCAAATTGCCCAATTCCAAATCCACACTTCCAAAATCATCAGAACCACAGGGAATCACTACTTCTTCTTGATCACAGATCCTAGAAATGGAGAAGGGATTTTATCAATTAGTTTTTCAGAACTGCTTTTGTCTCATTATTCAACTGAAAGCCTAAATGTTCCCTTCTCAGACAGGCATTATTGGTCATCAATCTAGATTGAGTAGCCTCTTTCCATCTCAGCCCAGTTACTCTTTTTTGTTGTAGCATTTAATCATCAAAAACAATTACCTTATTCATTTGTGTTCATTTGACTGTTTCCTATCAGACTGTAAACTCCACCAATGAAAAAACCTTATCTACATGGCCCTCCTTCTATCCTCAGCACTACAAATTGTCACCGTCATAAGGAATGAATGGGATCAGTGAGAAATACTAAGCTGCTGTCAGAAACAGATTGAGAACAACCCCTTTCCAATCTTGCCCTTACTTACTTTTTCTTCCTTCCGTACCACATACTACTTTTTAATAGTTATTTATTTACTTCCTGGTGTTGGGGACAAAACCCAGAGCCTGGTACAGGCTAATTACAAAATCTATCATGGAGCTACACACCCAGCTGAATTCATTCACTTAGGATGTTCACTGCTTTATCAGCTACTTCCTCCTGTTACAATGTAAGCTCTATCTTTTTAGAGCTTTAAGGGCAAAGATCTTTGGCTGCTTTAAGTGTACCCCAAGAGCCTAGAACAATGTCTAGCATGTAATAATACTCAATAAAATTGGTACCGTGATTCAGTAGATCTACATTTATTAAATGTTTAACATAGATTAATAAATAAAAAAGCAAGTTGCCAAACAGTGGCTATGATACGATATCACTTTTACAGAAAACAGTATATTTGCAAAAGTGGAAAGTATGCACGTACATATGCATACATATATACATATATAAATTTTGGAACATGTAGAAAAACATGCAAACACCAAACACTTGTGGAGTGGAAATATTGGGGAAAAATTTTAGCTTTTCTACTTTCATATTGCTTAAAATTTTTAATGTTGGCATGAATATTAAATGTTATAAAGATGTATAACAAAAATAAATTCTATGCATTGCAGTTGCAACTGGAAGTATAAATTGATAGAATCACTTTGGAAATGACTTGGCATTGTCTAGTAAAGTTGAAGGTGTGCATATGCTATGATTTACTATTCTACTCCTAAGAGTATGTTCTAGTGAAACTTCTACATGTGTACCTGGACTATGTATTGGAATGTGCATAGCAATTGTCATCATAGGAAAAACTGGAGCCATCTTATGGCCCTTCAATGGCAAAACAGATAGACAGATAAAATGAATGAGCTCTAGATATACAAAACAAAGCAGACAAAACTTACACACAATGGTGAGAGAAGAAAGAAAGTCAATGGGAAAAAATATGCAGTAAATTCCACTTATAAGCAAAACTAATAAAAATACTTCTGGGAGTTATAAATATACATGGAAAATTATGAAAAAAAAAAGCAAGGAAACAGTGTAATCTTCAAGATGGGCAGCTGTTAGATTCTTAGATGTGAAGGAAGGGAATGGAATGGGTAGGTTCAGAAGACTTCAAAGTTATAATTATGGCATGTGTGTGTGTTTGTGGTACTGGGAAGTGGACTTAGGGCCTTAGCACTGACCTATATATAGCCCTAGTCTCTCTTATTTTTTATTTTGGTCTTAGGGTCTCACTAAGCCACTAATTTGCCCATTCTGGGCTTGAACTTGGGATTCTCTTGCCTCAGGCTCCCAGAGTGCGGGGATTGCAGGCATGGGCCATTCCACTAGGTTGGTTATGTTCTTTTTTTCACAGGATAGCTGGTGTAAAATTTCACTGTATAATTATTCTTTTTTCTTTATACATTTTTTTTGTTTTATTTTTTGAGATAGGGTCTCACTATGTATTCCAGGCTAGCCTTGAACTCACTATATAGTTCAGGCAAGGCCTCAAATTCATGGCAATCCTCCTGCTTCAGCCTCCCAAATGCTGGGATTACAGGTGTACATTACTACATCTTTTTAAAAATTTTATTTCGAAATAGTCAAAATTGCCCAGGCTGGCCTTGAATGTGGGTTTTTCCTGCCTCAGTCCCCTGAGTAGTGGGGATGATAAGAATGTGGCAGCGTGCCCAGGTTAAAATTGACTTTTTAAGAAGCTGCTAGCTGGGCATAGTAGCATACACTGTAATCCTAGCACTCTGGAGGCTGAGGAATGCAAGAGGATCAGTTTGAAGTTGAGGTGAGCCTGCGTTACATAGTGAGCTCTACACACACACACACACACACATACACACACACATATACACATACAGGAGCTGCCAATCTGTTTCCAAAATGATGATACAACTTAAATTCCCACCAGCAGTATATAAGAGTTCCAGTTACTCCATATCCTTGCCAACATTTGATATTTTTGGCCTTTTTAAATATTGATTAGTGGAAATACAGTGATGTCTAGCTTTGGTTTGATTTATATATTTGTTGTTGTTGTTTGAGCAGGGTCTCTCCACCTAGTCCAGGACATTCCCCTACTGAGCTGTTTTTTGACCTTTGTCTCTTGTCATCTCCTGCTTGTGCTTCTGTTCTTTCTATTTCAGCCCAAACTGAGCATAGCAGCTGTAGCAGTCACAAAAGACATCCTACCACCCACCCTAACAGATTTGATTTTGCTTCCCCCACACACAAGCGGGGGCTGGGGAGGTAGCTTAGTGCAATGGCCTGGGTTCAATCACAAGTACCAATCAATCAACCAACTACATGAATATAGTAACAGTACTCACATCATAGAATGGTGATAAGGGATAGATGAAATAATGTATATAGAGTGCTTGGTACACTGTTGGGCTGTATTGTAAATGCTCAATAGTTGGAGCTATTAGTACTGTGTGTTTAGATGAGTCTTCCATGTTTGAATCTGTTAAACCTGAAAAATTATAGGCTCCTCGGTTATTCAAAGAATCACTGATATGCTTTGCAAATCAGATAAAAATTCACCCAGCAGGTCAATTATTAACAATTGAACTCTTCATCTTTGGAGGAAACTGCCATAATTTTCTACAGGAAAAAAAAAAAAAAAACCTTTGGTCTACACTACTCTCCCCTTGCCACCGGGCCCCTCCGGTTCCTTTAAAATTGGCCGGGCTTCCGAGAGAAAAGTGAATGACAGAGCGGTCGGCCAATCACCGCAGCAGGCCAATCAGAGGCGGCCCCGTCTTTGGCCCATCCTGAGGCCTTGTTCAATCGCATCCGGGTAGCATCCACAATAGGACCGTTGCGAGGCGGTTGGTTCCAAGTGGGCCGGGGTGTGGGGGGGAGTCAGACCTGGACGCGGACACCCCGAGGCCTTTTGCGTGAGCGGACTGGCATCCTCGCTGCGGCTGCTGGGAGCTGCAAGGCCCAGCGTGACCGCGGAGACTGACCTGTGTCTAGAGCCCATCCCGGCAAGTGGAGTCTGCCGGGAGTCCCTGGTGTCCCCTCCGGCGCGCTCGTAGAGCCACTTTCCCGAGCGGAAGTCAGCCTGCGGACCGGGCTCCGGTGGGACCTGCTCGGAGGAATGGCGCCGCCGGGTGAGAGGCTGCGCATGGCTTAACGAGGGGGCTCCTTGGCCGGCACGTCTTGGGGAGTGGGCTGTGGCCCGTGGGACGCTAGTTCCGGCCACTCGGGAGCTGACCAGGCGGGATCTCCTTTCCCTGCGGGGCAGGGGCATGGGCTTGGGCTCTTTTAGGGGTCGATGGTCTGACCAAGGGCTGCGAGCTGGTGGGAGTGTCCACTACCAGTAGGGGGGTTGGGGGAGGGGGCGCAACGCGGAGCTACGGGTCCTCCCGAGGCCCAGCCGGTGGGGCTGCGGCCGTTCCTAACCTAGACCTGGCTTTCCTCATTCATTTGGTTCTTGGCGGCAAACCTATGAGCTGGCCCGGAACCACCTATCATTTTGTGTGAGCTTCTGGCTAATTCCTCTGTTTCATTTCAGTAACCAGGCAAGAAAATTGCTCAGCTTTTTCTGGAAGCAAACTTAAGAGTCTGCCGTGTATTTATTATGTGGCCCAGATCCAGCTACTAAACCTTTCTGCACCTCAGTTTTTCACCAGTGAAATAAGTTAGTCCCATTATCTGCTTCTAGAGTTCTGTATTAGATGAGATAATCTCCCTGCCTGCTTTAGAATAGTGCATGGCACTAAGCAAGCACTTAATAAACTTTACTGCGTTGGTGGTTATTTGCGGGGTGAAATCTCATGTCTTCATCACAGTTTGGATTTGTGCTCTTGTTACTACCGTTAGGCAGATGAGAAGTTGGAATCCCAGAGAAGGGAAGTAACCTGCCGAGGTAACACAATGATTGGGCTCATTGCTTCCCTAGTTGAGAAATGGAGGATGAAGTGGTTTAATTCGGAATTTGGACTCAAATTGCCTGCGGTTTGATTCTCCAGTCAGTTTTTGCCTCAAGGAAGGGGCAGGTAACTACTTCTGACGCTCAGTTTCTTTGTAAAACCGCAGAAGATAGCCAGTTCAGTTAATGTTGAGTAGTTAATGATTCAGTGAATGTGAGGTTTTTAGAATAGTTTGGCACTACCCCACACTTGTTAAGTGCTCAAGTTGTAGTTACAAAAGTTACTGCTGTAAAAGGTGAGAGGATGCGGTGGGCAGAGAGTCTGTGCTAGGGGAATTTGTAGCTGAGAAAATGATCGTTGTAATTATTTACTAGATTGCAGTACAGTGAGTATATGCATGTACAATAGGTATTGGGGATTCAGCATTAGTGTCTTTTCTTTTCTTTTTTTGGTCTTTTTGAGACAGGGTCTCACTATGCAGTTCAGGCTGGCCTTGAGCCTCACTTTGTAGCATGGGCTGCTCTTGAACTTGAAACGATCCTTCTGCCTCAGCCTCCCAGTGCTGGGATTACAGGTGTCGGCCACCACGCCCGGCCCAGCATTAGTATCTTGACACCTCTTTCTTTTAAATCTGTTAGCAATTCTTAAAGGCGTTAAGTTGACTTCTAGCCAGACTGTGACTACTACCTCTTGCACTTCCTGTCTTGTTGCCCAGGTTCAGACCACCATTTTGTCTATTCCCTTGGATTGTGGCAGTAGTAGTCTAACTTGTATCCTTGTGTTTTTGCTCCTGCATAATCTATTCTCAATGCAATATTGTCTGTTTCAATCCAGTGATCCTGTTAAATTGTTAAGTCAAATCACACCTCTGCCCAGAACTTTCCAGCAACTCTCGTCTCATTGAGTAAAAGCTGAAGTTTCTTCAGTGGCATTCCAGGCTCTCTGGATTTACCTCGGCTTCCTGTCACTTGTCTCTTTTCACCCTTCGCTTACCTCACTCTGGCCATACCGACATTGGTGATTTCAAAAAATGCCCTGAATGCTCCTGATTCAGCATTTGCACTTGCTTTTCTTGAGGTAGTTTTTTTCCTGGTCCACACTTAATATCTGTTTCTTCCTTGGACCATCACACATAGTACTGTATTTAACCAGCAGACATCCCTTCTCAGACATCCCTTTGGTGATTTATTTTTTTTTCTACCTAATACTTTTTGTCTTATGTGATAATCGTGTTTCTTAATTATTTTGTGTGATGTTTTTCTTTACTTGGTAGAATATAAGCTGTATGGAAGTGGGTGTTCCTGCTGTATTTTTAGCACCCCAAATAGCGCTTGGTTCATCATAGCATTCTGTGTGTGTGTATAAAATGTATAAATGTATACGTGTTATGTATAAATATATGTGCCATGACTGAAAAATACAGTGAATTTTAATTTTAAAGACTTTATTACAGTAAAAAAATACATTGCCACTAATCTGCCTTAAAATACTTCCCTTTGCTTGGAATGGACTTATGCCATTGTTCTTGTCACTGGTGAAGCAGTTCTGAAAGTCCTTCATCAGTGTCTTTTGTTGTGCTGTTGTGGCTGCCGTAGTGTCTTGAATCAGTTCAAAATGTTTTCCTTTCATGGTCAATTTGGGGAAGAGCCAGAAGTTGTACAGTGCCAGAGGTAGATGAGGACGAACCTTAACATTTTTTACAGGCCTGCCTTTCTGTGAGATGGCACTCAGCAGGAGCATTCACCATATTTTTGATCATCCGTCATAAAGACAGCCGTAAAAGAGGACTTCCAGAAGTGCTTCAGAAAGTGTCAAGAACGATGAAATAGGTGTTCAAAGTGAAGGGGAGTATTTTACAGGGGATTAATGACAATATATCTTTATAATGAATTTAAAAATTTTAAACATTCACTATATATTTTAATCATAACACACATATACACTTTTTTTTTTTTTGGTGGTACTAGGAATTGAACCCCGGGGGCTTCTCACTGAGCTACATCTCCAGACCTTTTTTTTTTTGAGTCAGGCTCTCCCTGAGTTGCCCAGGCTGGGCTTCAACTTGCAATTTTCCTGCTGCCTAAACCACCCAGAGTGCTGAGATTACTGGCTGCAATCAGTATATTTTCTATGAGTATTTCACACTGTAGATCTGTTTGTTTGTTTTTGTGATATTGGAGATCAAATCTAAGGCCTGAGGCATGGTAGGCAGGTGCTGTACCACTGAACCCCAGCCCACTGTTTGTGTTTTTTGAAAGGGCTTTCATATTCTGTAAGCTTACGCACTCCAAGTCTTAAATGGGATGCGCGTTCATGGGAGGGTGGTTCTCTGAGTTGTGTTAGTAGACATCCTTTCTAGAATATCCTCCAAAACAACAGTGGAGTTAGACTTGGGTTTGTGTCCAAGATTGGCTATATATAAGCTACTCTGGTCCTCAGTTTTCTTACTTGTAGATGTAATAATGGTTTTCCTCAGGGATTCTGGTTGAAATTAAATTTGTTACTAAAAACAAGGATTTAGGACCATAAAATATGATTGCTTGTTTATACTTTTTATATGGGTGGCAGACAGTTAACTTTATCATTAAGCAGTACATTCAGAAGTGGTTTTTTGTTGTTGTTTTTGTTTGTTTGCTTGTTTTGAGACAAGGTCTTGCTATGTAATTCAGGTTGGCCTTGAACTCATTGTGTAGCTGAGACTGGCCTCAAACTTGTGGCAAACCTCCTGCCTCAGCCTTCTGAATGCTGGGATTACAGATGTGTGCCACCATGTCCAGTGATTCTAAAATCTTTCTATATTAACTCTGCGGATGATACTGTTTTATCCACTTACCATGTGAAGAAGCAGAGGAACTGCCATGGTCACCTTGTTGATAAACGCAGGGCTACAGTTTCAGCTTGGCTGAGGGGCTGGGTTCTTCTCTACTTTGTTGGGGACCTAATTCAACGGAGGGTTTCTTAAAGGAGAGATGCTTAGCTACACTGAAGTTTCAAAGTAAAAATAAGCAAAATTAAAATAGGAGAAAGTATGAAAAAGAGTAGGGGTAGAGAAGAACTTGGCTCCTTGAAAGAACAGACGCTAGAGAGCGTCAGATGTTTGGAGTGAAGGAGATCTGCTTGAGAGGTGGACAGGGTCAGGTAGGGACTTAGAATTGGTTCTGTCCTGTCCAGACCCAAGAAGTGTAGGATTTATGAATGCTCTTAAATGGGAATGGTGTGATGAGTCCTGTGCTGTAGCTGCCCGGAGCTTCTAGAACTGTCCAGACAGTTGAAGACCAGGCTCACCACCCCCGTCTCCTCTTCAGGTTGCCCCTCGAGTTCATTACCTTCTCCCACATGATCTGGTGTGCAGACATTGGTGCACGTATTCTTGGAACTCCATGTAAAATTGGGAGTCCTGTGAAGTATATTTACTCGTCATTTTCCCCCAAGGTTCAAGCACTGTCTTCCTGTTGGCCCTGACAATCATAGTCAGCACCCAGGCTCTGACGCCCACTCACTACCTCACCAAACATGACGTGGAGAGATTGAAAGCCTCCCTGGACCGCCCTTTCACAAGTTTGGAATCTGCCTTCTACTCCATTGTGGGACTCAGCAGCCTCGGGGTCCAGGTCCCGGATGTAAAGGTAAGGCTGCTCTTGTCTGGGTGCCTAAGCCGACTCAGGAGAACTTGAATCCCCTTGCTGTGTTCACGCTCATGTACTTTTGGGGGTAAGCTGGTTAATCCAATGTAAGAATGATTTATTTGAATTTGGCAGGGTTTTTGGTACCTGATGTGTATTTAGGTTCATGCCAGGTGTTTTTAGTGAAAGAGAAAAGCAAGTCATTGATCCTCTAGAAATTTGCACCATGACACTATTTAAAACCATATCTATTTGTAAAGTGCCTAGGCATGTGGCTAATATTTGTACTAAGGAAATTCAAGGTGCGGGCACTCACATGTATTAAACAGTGACAGTTACTATATCATGGAATTCTGATTTTTTTTTGACTTTTGATGAGATGTATTGTAATTAAAACTTTTTCTTAATTCAAAGAAATGTTAAATGAATTGCATTGTATTCATTACAGTAGCACGGACAGATTACTATAAATTTAGGGGTTGTCTTAGTCACTTTTCTCTTGTTGCTGAGACAGAATACCTGACACCAAAGTTAAAGGGGGAAAAGGTTTGTTTGGCTGACAGTTCACACAGGAGTTTGTTTGGCTGACAGTTCACATTTCGGCCCATAATGGGCTGGCTCCAAGGCAGGGCAGCACATGACAGAGGGGCAACCATTCATGGTGGCCATAGGTAGCAAAATAAACAAGGAACCTTAACAGCGCCCTTCTGCCCCTTTTATTTTCTCCATACTACTTAGGGTAAGTAGCACTCACATCCTTAATCCTAGGGTCCTGGAGTCTAGCACTACATCATGAATTAAGTCCGTCATCACACACTATAGATCCAGCCACCTCTGAAAAAGCCCCACCTGTGACTGCATGAGGCTTTGGGGGGACATCTAGACACAAGCCATACAGGTGTATAAAACACCATACCCACCATTTATTAGTTCTAGTTCTGCATGTCAGAAGTCTAGTTAGGCTTGCTTGGGGTCTCAGCTT